TATAGTATTAATTAATTCGACATTTATTTTCCTTTTTAAAGGTAGAATAATAAGAAACAATAGAGAAAAAATCGAGAGAAAAAATTTCAAAAGAAAATCATACTTTTCGGTTTCTCCAAAGCTTGAAGAAGTTCCTCCTTTAGCACGTTCACGACATTCTTGATTAAAACATATCGTCAATTTTATAATAATAATATCCAGTTATTTTATGCATTGTACTATTACATGCCGTGGGTATTGTAAACGACAGCTGACAGACATTGCTTCGAGGCGGAAGTTTTCGCGGCTATTGATTTTTCATCGACTCGCTTTCGCAGCTGTCGTTTACAAGATTTTCCTATAAGTAGATAGGAAAGATTTGAAAAATTTCTTTGTTTTTTGAAAATTTATAATTAACTTGAAAATATTATTTATTCCAAATTATGATATCTTATCTTTCTTATTATTTCCCAAAACATGGAATGAACATTCAAATATTATAGCTCTGTGATAATTGTTCTTCAATTAAATCCTACAAAAATAGAGAATTTATCGAAGAAAAAAATATTAGTCAATAAGAAAGTTTACGATATAATTTGATATGGCCGTTTATTCAACCTCTTCCTCTTGAACTTTAATTAAATTCATCTCGTAGATTTTTTTTCTTCTCATTTCAATTCAAATAGAAATTCATTATTCATTCATGTTTGTTACAATTCAGTCCAATCCAAGATCTTTTCTTCGTGTTTTCTGTTTGTTTCCTCTTGAGTCAAACATCAGTCGCGAGTATGTGTGATGCAATTACACAGTCTGGCTCATACGAAAAGGAACGTGCGATTGTCAACGGTTGAGATCCGAAGTAATATACAGGTTGTCGTATAATATATACTTTTGTATCCTCGACTATAAAAATCAAGATTTTTTACCATTTTTTAAAAATATTTCTTAAAAATATTTAATCAATTTATATTACAAAAATTATTTATTATGAATGTATAAAAATTTTCGAGTTTTTAATTAAAAGATCAAAAATAAGTATAATAAAATTATGTTGAAAAAAAAATTTCCAATAAATTATAATAATAACGATATAAATTTGAATTACTTTAATCTCTTGATATCATTAAAAAAAAATGGGTCAATCCATCGATGTATCGCTTTCTCATCGATTTTTATAAGCTTGAAATATATTGCTAAGGGCAATTTTGAGAAACTTTTTTTTTATATATGTAAGCAATATGATGGTTGATTTTAATTTTTGGATTATATTATAGGAAAAATATTTTTCATATATTCTGGTATAGTCCAATTTATAAGTTTAACTCTATAAGTCCTAATTCATTAAACGATAGTGTTTCTAGAAAAATAGCTTTAATAACACTATGGAAAAGTTCACGAAATATTTCTCGTTTTGATAGATATTTGTTTCTAATCATTGTTACAAGGAAAATATCGGAAAATACACATTTCACAATTTTTTTTTATCCATAATAATATTTCAAACTCGCAAAAAGATCAGAAGGAAAAATGAATTTTATCGATAATTAAATTTCGATCGACAGCAAATATCCAATGAATTTGTTCCATTGCTGACCCTGTTTCTACCTAACTAAAACCATTTACGCTTATGTGCGTACACACGTGTATGTAACTGTAAATTGTCGCGTCTAACTGTAATACGGGCCATTGATGTTTCCATCGCGAAATTACATGGGAATCGAATGAAGATGATTTTACTTTTTAGAATATATATTATTCTATATATAAAATATTCTATATATACTTATATTGAACTTTGTACAGATTTCTCTGAAGATTTCTCCGAAGATTTTCCTCACCTTTGATCTTCTCTTAATTGTTAAATTACACGTAGAACGTAACGAGTCTTTTTCTCGATGTCGCATTCCAATCGACGATTGCCTTCAACGCGAGAGTAACTATTACGTATGCTATGTTTTCACAGTCTTCGTTTTCATCCCTTCTCTCTCGCTTTTGGACGCAGATGCGTCTTAACATGTCTTTATTGTACTGTCTTGAAAAACGAGGAATGTAATTATCTATTAATGGTACATATGTAATGATGATTATATCCATTTTCATTCTAGAGAATATTCTTGAAGAAAATTTGTTGAAAGAGAATTTGAAATTTTAAAAAGTGAAAATATTTTAATATTCTTAAAAAGTAAGCCAAACATATTCTTAGAAAGAAAATCTACTTTTTTTTTTAATCGTTATACTGATTTACTGTGAATTTAATCAAAATATAGATATTTGAAAACATGAAAAATCCTTTTATTATTTAAACAATGATTTAGAATAAATTTAAATAAGATATGGACATAATCAAAAATTTCAAGAAAGTATTTTTTCGTAGAAAATCTTCTTTTTTTTTTTTTTGTTTTTTGAAATTCGTCGTTTCAATTTTCAAATTTATAACTTATTTATAATTTACAGATATAGAAATCCCACGAGTTATTGATAGTTTTTCGCAGATTATAATTTATGAATTATTCGTGGCGCTTGGTAATTCATGTTTACAAATTACAAATTATAACGGGACTATGTGTGTTAGCATTGTTTCAGTACTGTTATTCTATTCACTCTCACGCATATGGTATAATATTGGGAAAAATAATTTTATTAAAAAAATAAAAATTCCTTGAAACGATGTATTAATTAAATAAATTAGAAAAGAAAAGAAAATATTTATGTGTTTACTTGAATAATTTTCTACTTAACAACATAGAATTCATAAAAATTATGAAAAGAATAAACGCGTCGAGGAATCATCATATTTCATCAATAAAGATTTGTAGTGACGTGCATGTAATTATGAATAATGCTATCATATACATCATGGATATTCGTGAAATGTTAATTGCAATCTTACATAATTATAATATTATTTTCAATATTGAGAATGATTATATCAATACATTGATCTTTTAACATGATCTTTTAATTAAACGATATAATATATTTTTTATTATCTTCTCTTCCTCGATCATCAATGTTCTTTTTCTTTATAATATCTTTCATATGTAAGATCGTAAGATCGATTAATACATTTAATATTATGAAATCATCTGTGTTTTTGTTTTTAACAATCACGAATAATTTCTTGTTGTTATATCTTACACAAATTAAAATTCAATAAATAAAAATTTCAATTGATTAAATACAATGACAAGAGCAAATATATCTAAAGTTACATCGAAGACAATCTGGCATAAATTTTTATACGATAGATTGCTTTAGAATTCAATCCATAAAATAATAAATAATAATTTCAGTAGAAATTTATTCACAGGAATGAAAGAAAAAAATAATAATAATCGTATAGAAATCAAAAGATGAAACACGGAATTTCTGCGTTACGTCAGATAGAGGATGCGCAATAAAAGTCGATTCTCGCGCATCCATAATCCAAGGCTGTATTTCTATTCCTTTTATATCGTGTCATCGTTCAAAGTAATCGCCAATCATAATCGAGGACTATTCCAGAAGCTCGTCGAGCTATTAACGTGTAATTTCAATCGTAATTTAGATGAATGTTCCAAGTATTTAACATCGAGTCATTAATGGAAGAGGAAGAGTGCCATGTTAGCACTTGACGTTCGTGGTTGGATGCACTCGACTTGAATGCAAGGTTAGCGAGTTTAAACATCACAGTGTCATCGTTTGAATCATGGAGATCCATGCTTTATACGATTCCCAAGATTGATTATCCGTGAAGCTATTTTTGGCTACGATTAATCGTGATTTGAACGCAAAATTATCTTACCTAGGATCAAAGGATACTTGGTGTTTATTGATCCTTGATAAAGTTTCTTGAAAAAAAATTTATACGTAAGATAAAAACTGATTAAATTGATTCAATCACGTTGGAAATTTTGATTTCAAATTTTTAATATATTTTAAATATAGTAGAAAGAAGAAAACATATGATAGAAATGATTTGTTGAAAAAAATTTTTACAAATCTATGAATCTTTTCTTTCTATCAAAAAGATAATCAATGTAGAGATTACTTTCAGAATAAGAATTATTAAAATTATTTATATAGAGAACAATTGAACGAAATTATTATTATTTGAATACGTAATACTTAAAAGATACTTACAAGAATTTTTAAATCTTTATATCGAAACTAAAAGCATATCGTAGTTATAATGATCAATGGTTTTCAAATATATGTATCTATTTCTAAGAAACCATATTCCTTTTTAAGTTCATTTAAAATAGGATGGATACTCGAAGAAATTTCTATAAAAATGACATCAGGAAATCAAACATGTTCAACTTATGGCTGACAGAAAAAGACTTCCGATAGTAAAGTTTAACGAGACTCGTTTTCAAGAGGCGAGGAACAGGAGGAAGATAAAAAAAAAAAAAGGAAAAAGGCGTTCCACTTAAGCTGCCAATCAAGGCGATTTGCATTCCAGGAACGTTTGCCGCGATCGCGAAACCGGCGTATATCGTCGGTTGCGGTTAACCCTGAAAATTACACGCGAGAACGGAATGTGGTCGACGATAGAGGCTCGCGTGTATTCGTCCCGAGAGCACACAGGTATGCGCCAATAATATATCGAGCAGGAAACGCTTGATTTCAAATCTATCGCGAAATACTCGTTGGAACACTCTTTTACGTCTTTGTCGATGTCCAATGCTATGAATAGTCAATTATCGCTTCTTATTTTCTTTCCAAACTTGTCGTTGATTCCTTGATTTATACAGATATAAATTTATCATGGTAGTTCTTGAAAGACTTCTAAATCTTGATAAGTGCTGGTGAATATTTAAATATTGGTTTTCTGTGCCAAGTAGATTTTATTATATCGTAATTCCTTGAATTTATAATATTCTTGAAAAATTTCTCTAAATCGATTGGTGTTAAAAATGCTCGAATCATTATTATCATTTAGATAATAAAATGGATTATAACAATTAGAAACTGTAATTTTAAAAGAAAGAATTCTATTTTTTTTTTTTTGTCAGTAAAAGTTTTGCAGTCGAATTTTAATTTTTGGACGAGAATTCGATTCATTATATCATTAATTTTGATATATTTCTTTCATTCCACCAATATTATGAATATTCGATATTTTTACGATTCAATAGAAAGTGTAGTTTTAAAAAAAGAAATTCCAAATAAAACAGGATATTTGTCATTTCGAATTTTCGTTTCGATGAAAATAAAATTTCGTTTTTCTACTTTAATTGCATTGTTAGTTTATTATTAATTAATCTTGCATGGCAATCGACACGTAACAATATACATAATATGTTCACAAGTAATTCAAGAGGATGGGATGGATCTCCAGTTATCCGTCTTCTATATTTCTCGTGTGCTGCTCTCTTCTTAGATTTTGAGCCTTTAAAATCAAACTCATTCCCCAAAAAACTCTTTACAGAAATTCATAAAATTCATCGAAACAAAGTTTACGAAAACTTACCATTTTTGAACATTTTTTCATCTGAATTTAATTTTCCCCATATGTTTAATAATAATATTTTGTAATTTTAAATTCAATATAAATATTGAAATAATTACGGTCGGTGATGTTTAAAGGCTTGTTAAGAGGACACACGTAACATACGTGTAAACGTATGTCACGAGATAAGTTTACAATGTCTCCAGAAAGCGAAGGCGGAGAGACTCCATCGCGTTCGATAAATCATATAAATACATTTTCATTACGATACATGTCCGCGAAACGAGCACAGATCACGATAAATAAATAATCGTTTACGCTTCGCGAAAATCTCGATTAATTTTTACCGTTTAACTCTTCGTTTGAGCCATTGCCATTTGTCTCCGTACCATTGATATCTTGATCTTAATTTCATCGAGGTTATCAAAGGAAGAGTTAATGGGATAATTTCCGAGAGAAATCCTTTAAAAAAAGGTAATTGTAATTATTATCGATCGTGAACGATTCGTAACCCATTAACGATAATGTGTAATTATTTGCAGAGCAAAACGTCACATCAGTTACTTAAAACGGTGTTTATTATCGAAAGGATTCAATTTAATATAGAGGAAATAATAATAGAAGGGACGTTAGACGTTGCTCTTCAAATATATAACACGATTCTATTCGAAAAATTTAAGTTATAATATATATATATATATATATCATCGAGTTGAAAATACTTCGCTGGGATGACTTCTCCTATACAATTCATCTGGCACATGCGATTAAATAAATAAGTTCCAGTTGCATTTTTTTGTCCGACTCGCAAGTTTCTTCCTCTCGTTCCGAGACCAGGCTGTTTTCCATCACGAAACTCTTTATTTTATACTCGAGATTAAAAATCGAGGACGTTAAAGATAATCAGGTATCGAGCATTCTTTTGAAATCAGACTGAAGAAATAACAAGAAAAATAAAAATATTGCAGACAAAATATTGTATCGAAATTAAAAAGGAAAAGAAAAATCAAGATAAGGAAATATTTGAATCGTTTGCCGAAAAGATGAACGATTATTTTTTTCAAAGTCAGTCTTATTTTTGTCAACTACAAAGAACAAACCAGCGGAACTTTCGTTCCAGCCTGATAATCTTAATGACTAGGCGAATCTACGAAAACTCGCGTATCATCCTTATTAGGCTCCAAGCTTTGAATATTTCTGTTAAATTCAGCACACCGAAAGAATTAAACGACAGAATTGAAAGAGGTAAAAAAAAAAAAAAAATGTCGATACAATTTGCAAAGTCGGACAATTTATGGCATTTGGCACTGATTCCCATTCTGGACCATTCGGGGGATAGCACTTGGTGGCGCTATCTGTCTAGTTTAACTTTGAAGCAAACGACTGACGCGACATCGTTGCGATTTCGCATCCGGTGATTCGATATCTCTATTTTTCACAGAAGTATTTCTCACATCGTATTGCATCGTAACTTATTAACCGAATTATGCAATTTTAACGCGGAAAAATAGCAACGACGTCGCATCACTCATCTATATTTATATTTATATAGAGACAAGAGGATAAGAAACGGAAAAATACGGTGGTCGCATGTATAATTAACAATACAAAATAATTGCTTTTAAAAGGAAAAATTCGCAATTTTAGCGTGGAAAATTGGATAATCAATGTAACGAATCTCTTTTATTACTTTAAGCAATTGAAGCATCGTTAAAATTGAAATTGATATTCAGTTTTTTTTTTTCTACGTAATTCTTTGGCTCGTTTTGATTGATGCAATGGCGGTAAAATTAGATACGATTTGCTTACAACAATGATGTCATTAGAACTGAAAAGAAATCTCGAAGACAATTGGTTTGTAACCAATGAAAAGAATTTTCGTGATGTCGTAAGCCAAAGAGTTCAATTTGTTACATGATAAGTGTCAGTGGGTCAGGTCAGCGTTTCATAAACTTCTTTCTCTGACCACGAACACGTTTACTTAAAAGCGATTCTATGCTTTGCTTACGTTTGTTAAAAAACGCATCACGCATCAAAGGGAATAAACAAAATTAAAATTAATTATAAATGTTTCTTTTTCGTAACATTTACAAACTTTTTTTTGTTTCTATAGGAATTTTTCTTGTAAATTTTCATATTTTTTTCTTTCTTTAATATTCTATCATAAAATCCTAAACTTTTATTAAAATTTTATTAAAATCATTTCAAATATTTCATTTGCCTTTCAACATTTCTATCTAAAACTTTAATTATAAATTAAATCATACGCAGGTTTTGCTATCTAAGAATTATACATTCCATGGCATAATTCGGTCCATTGCACTCGCGATACCTTGAAGCAACCACGCAATACTATTTTTTCTCCCCCCTTTTTTTTTTATCCTCCTCACGAGTTACGCGTTGCGAGAATAAAGAAACTCGTTACGAAATCAAAGAGACACTTTTCACCAAGCCGATCAATGCAATCGATGAAGCGCGAGCAGTATAAAGAATAGTTTCCAAGCAATATTCCACGTTACTTGTTCATTTGCCGATCATTAACCACGTTTATAAATCGTTCTTTTTCTAATCTCCATAAAAATCAATCCAAAAAAAGAACGCAAACGTTATAATTTCTATTTTCTTTTCTTTTAACGTACCACAGGATAATTTTAAAAAATTTTAAATCGCCAATAACGAATAATTATCATATTTACAAATCGAAGAGATCGATATTTGACTCGATAAATCAGTAGAAGTAAATTATCGATTTTTTAGGAAATAGCAAATACTCGAAATGACGATATCACGCATTATTCAAATTGTTTTCATTATGCAAATTGTTTCAACAAGCGAGACAATCGAGAAAAAGTTTAATAACAAAATATATGGCGTGTGTATAATCGGCCGTGAATCGATAATAATCAAGTATCTAATAGTACATGCATACTCGTCCATAGAAAAAATGTATTCGTTCATGCATGCAAGATATCTATGATCAGTTTCGAAAATAGATATATTCGATGCCCAAATAAACAATCGCTGGATTGGACTCGTTTCTGATTAATTGATTAATTAATTCAGACTTGTTTCTCTTGTTTTACAAAGACTGTTAATTACGCCTAGAATTCCTCGTGTTCCGACGTTCGGAGAATCTTAACGGAGAAAATATTTATCATCGTTGAAAATTATTGTATTAACTTTTCCCAAGTTCGATACTTGCTCAATCTTTGACCCGAGCGTGAAGAAACAAATGTTTCGCCGATTTTCTTCCCCTGTTAAGCCGCGCACTAATTACAATCATCAGGTTAATTGTGCGGAACAATATTGCCAACTTCGTCTCGGTGATACTATTGCACAAAGCAATTGCATTTCAAGCTTCCCAGATTTGGTTCTCATGAGCACGATTCTACACGCGATTGCGCGAGTCGCATCAAAGTATGAACGCTTAAGTAATCTCCGTGTCTCCGCGGTTATTAAATACTCGTTCGTTACGATAGTTGTTTTTTCCCGTGGAAAAACGGGGCCGTGTGTCAAAGGAACGCGATACACACCGTTTCCCTTATGTTAATGGTTGGCGCCCCTGCAACCCGAGTAATTTTCCCACCGCGTTGCGCTGCACGCGTGAAACATCGAACAAAAAATAAACAGCTCGAAACATGCAAATGATCGTAATTACCGTGCATTCTCTTGGAAATTTTATAGATTCCGGTAATTAATAGTTGTAATTGGATTTAAGGCTAGTACCGCAAGACCGATTCACACTTAATCAAGCTTATGAAATCTAATTCGTCACGAAAGCGATGTTTCTATAAAACTTGACGCGTGTATGACTCACGCGTTGATATCTGTTTCCTCTTATTGTGAGATTTATGCGTATCGTTGGCAAGAAAAATGTAAAGACTTTTTGATAATATTTTTGATAATATTGTTTCGATCGTAAAAGAGAGAAAGAAAGAAAGAAAGAAAGAAAGAAAGAAAGAAAGAAAGAAAGAAAGAAAGAAAGAAAATTTGTAAGTAAACGGTGAAATATGTAAGTTTTGTTTTCTCTAATCTCTCAAAATTCTCGTTTCTTTTCCCTTGCGGCATAACTTTTTCTCATGCAATTAAGATTAACGTTTGCGTTCTCACGAGCGAGCAAATTGAAAGTCGTGCGTCGGCAAATCAAACCATCAGTTTTCTAAGGGAAAATTGTTCGACGATTTTTCGATAATTTTAAAAGAGTAACGAATTGTTCACCATTATCATTGAACAATGAAAAATAAATTTTCGATCGAATTCATTAAAATTGAAATAATAACAATAAACGATCTTTATTACTTGAAAATTTCATTTTTAACCGAAGAAATTTTAAACATTAAATTAAGTAATAAATAATATTTCGTTAATGGATATATAAAATTCTAGTTTCAAAATTATTATTTTCTTGAAGGAAATATTATATAGATTGCGTGCTTGTGTACGGTGTCTAACGAGTTCCAACCATTAGAACGATCTTCTTGGTCTGGTGACAATAATTCGAGCTTGTCCAATTAGACAGGAAGGACTTTTTTTTGTTACATCAATCTTTTCCGCCAACCATGATCAATTAAAGAAAAAAAACATCGAACTTTTATCGATTTAATCTTTTCGAGTCAAAATCACATTCGATATTTTATTTTAATCGGATCATATCTGATAAACTTATTTTTTCAAGAGTATATAATTTTGCTATATTTTGTCAGAGGCAAACTTCAGAAAACTTAAGATATAAATTTCTTTTCGATTCAAAAAAATCAATTTGTTCCAAACAAACTTATATTCAATTTTTTTCCAAAGCATCCCACGATCCAAGTTCTTAATTCGACAAAGGCAACCAACTCTCGAGATAAGATGATCGAGGTCACAGGTAGAAACCTGCACGACGAAGATGAGGCCTGATGTTTGTCAGCTTTTTACCTGTCCGTAATTTTCCTACTCGGGGAAGGTTGTTCCGAGAAACGAAAGCCAACTGAACCAGTTGGGCATAGCTCGACCACCTATCGCGATTTTCCACGCTAATGCCGCGACAAATCATTTTCCTCGTATTTTTCCGTTCAAACGAATATTCCTATTAACAGTCAGAAATTTCGAAAAACGAAATTTCGAAATTTCCATCTACGAACACACTTCTTCTTCTTCTGGAAAACGATGGATAGGCAATATCTATCTCGTGTCGTTATTCAACGAAAGACAATCGATCTCAAGTCCATTGTCAGCTCAGATTTCTGACTGAACGGTCCGATTCTAAATAATTCTAAATAATCGTTCGCATTTCCACGAGGGAATAAGGAGCGTCCTCGTTAGCCAGACTTCGGACGAAGCATCGTTTGACTGTGTTATGGATCGACCGTGCAACGATCTCCAGACTTGGATCGACGAGTGACTACAGTAGGAATCGAATGATATCGAATGATCTTAACGAGGTCGAGGCCTGGGAAGAGGTTGAAGTTGTTGCTGATGATGGGAATAACCGTTCCTGGGGTTGGCTGGCGGCTGTGCCCTCTCCGGGCTGTCATCCAAATTCAAACCAGCCACCAATTGCGCTATCTCCCTGTCCTTCTTCTCTTCTTTGGGCAACGCGTTGCCATTTTGCGCGCTAAAACCTAGAGAAGCCAAACTTCCGTGACTTCTGCTACGATGCTCCGCACGGATACTGTAGGAGAATGCCCTCTCGTTCAAATGGCCCTTCCGCCGATAGATTCCGGTACCGAAACGCGATTCATTTTCTGGACTGTCGGCCGCTCTGTTCATTTCGGCGGAAGTTAGGTCCGCGTGAGACGCGGCCAGCCTCCTGGAAGCACCTAAGGTCGAAGAATCCGCGTCGGCGTGTTGCCTTCTGCCTCTGTTCCCAGCTGTCCCGTAAGTTCCAGCCGGATAAATAGCCGCAGCCGGTGGAGGAGGCACTACCGGGAGGGGAGCGTACACCGGAACAATTGGAGCAGCTGCTGGAATCGGTCTGAGCCCTTTGGGATGATGATGAGCCTTCCTGGGTAAAGTGGCAGCGGGGACTAACAAAACTGGCGCTGGTCTGGCCAGAGTTCCAGCTACGGATCGACTGCTTGGTGGCAGAGGATGGGGATGATAGTGTTGCTGCCTGACCGGATGACCCAAAGTATGATGTCCATGGCCGTTTGTGTATATTCCCTGATGAAGCTGAGGGTGTAGATGCGCCTGTTGCAAGGGATCTTCGTGAGCCGATCGGTTTTTCAGTTTCTTCAACTTTTTGTTGGCTTTCCTGCGAACGGAGGAGGAAGAGGATTCCTCGAGGAGCAGGGGTTGAGAAGGTGGAGGCGGTGGCGGCGGCGGAGGAGGTGGAGCGACCAGCTGACGAGGTCTGGAACCCTTGGTACTCCTCAGCGTGCCTTGCTCTTGGTATAAACCTTCAACCTCGTCGCGACCCCTGGCCCAAACTTTGTGATTCTCATCTCCATTGTACAGACTGATATCGTCCGTCGAAGTGGCGTCCAAACGCGTCGCCTGAGGACTGTCTAAAGTGGTGCTAGATCCACCTAAGGTATGATACAGACTGTTGTTCGAAGGATGACCGGTGACTCCGTTAGTCGTGGTAGTCGGGTCCAGACCCTTGGCATAGCTACTGTCGGCGTATGCGTGAAAACAACACCTGACCAGGGCGTTGGCCGCCATGTCGCGTTTACATATAAACGCGTGACACTCGAGAACCTTGATACCGGTAGTTCGTCGAAGAACCGCGGCGAAAAGAGGCGGATGATTGGCACTGGGCGTCCTGGCGAATGGCGAGTCTAAAGGCAGAAACCTTGTGTTCGAGGAGTCACCGCTTCCGCCTTTGACGTGCCTGACCGCGGCGCAATAGTGAAGCGCCTCGATGGGAAAGAACCTGGTAACCTTTTTGCGGTGCTCGTCCACGTTCTCCAATAACAGGCCATTGCTCCAAACGCTCAGCCAGGAGTCGAGTCCACGTGCTCCTAGAGCGCCCTGTTCTGGATACAACTCCCTCAAAGGTTCCTGCACACCGAGCAAACCTTCCTTGCTGGCATGGGGCACGGAGCTACCCAAGTACAGGACTCTGCAACGACAATACGGTGTCGCGGTATCTTGATTGGCACCTCTCATTTTTGTCAACGATTCTTCGGATCGCACCGGTAAAGGTATCCAAACGATCCTCGTTGCGACTACTAACGATTTTCCAAACGTTTCGGATCGCGTCTCCCTGTCTCACCGGTGAACTATCTTCAGAAGAGGAAACGGAACGAAGTACGCGCAACAGCGAAACAGCTAGCAACGATCCAGAACCGTCGAATCATCGAACACCGTTCGAGCATCGAGTCGATTGAAAATAAAATTCGAGGAGCACACTCGTGACCGTACGGAACAACGTTAGAGAGGACTCCACCCGGTAACACACTTCACTCGCGATTACGCAGTCACTTTCCAAAGACGTAGCCCGTCCGCGATTGCAAAATACGTGTGCGTGGACAACGAGGAGAGCCGCTCTCGGCTATTTCGCAGCAGCTGTAGCCGCCGCTCGCTCGAGATCGCGTCAAGCCATTATGGCCGCCTTCTGACGGCTTCCCCACCAACTGTTACCTGCCCGTAACTCCCTTTTCCTCTTCTACCTGGCCTTCTCTCCTCGATCCTCCAGCCACCTCGTCCTTCTTTCTTCCAACACCGCTCACAATCTTGCCTACCTTTTTTTAACCCCCCACCGTTCCTCTTCCTCCTCCCTCTTCTTTCTTCTGGTCGTTCAGGCCAGGTCCTCCTGTGGTATGCGGTATACACCAGTGGCGTCTATGTCCTCCTGGTCGCCCCTCACCTCCACGTGTACCGATCCACCGCGGCGGACAGGTTACACACTCTTTCCACGCAACACAAGAAACGAGCAACGCTCACCGACACGCCGTGGAATCGAACGGGCCCGCTGAGTGTGTCGCCGCTGCTGGAATCCAGAGGCGCGGCCGACAGCCTTCGTCAGCCACGCAGGCTGTCGTATCCGACGTTCCTCGCTGCCTCATCGGCGGTCAACATTCCAAAAGATGTCCGAGTCTCCGCGTTCTTGTATTCCGAACAAATTTATCCAAGTTATTTTTCCCAATCACTCGATGATCGCTGTCCTTTAGCCGCGTAGATGGCGCTGTTGTCGCCTTCGCCCGACGACTGGTTCCTATTTAACCAACTTTCTTCCTATATGGAGAGTCTGGAAGGGCCGATTCGAGGGTCGAGAATCGAAGGGACGTTGTTTATCGCGAGCCAGAGTGACGTTTGATAATGGAACGCGCACGAATCGAGCGGGTAACGATGGAATAACAAGGTGTTCACGGATGTACGCTCCTCGTCGGACTGAGGACTGACGGAAGGCGTGAGACTCCGACCGACTGGGCCCCACTACGTGCCACCAGGCCCCCTCCCCCTATTTTTCTCTTCCTCTCTTTCTCCTTCTCTTTCTGCAACTTTTCTGCTTCGAGAGAGGCACTCCCTGGCAAGCCGTACCTGCCTCGAGAACCCTTCGCCACCCGATGGGGTGTTTGGAACTGTGCCGAGGAAAATGAACATTCTTTCCAGCCGATTTTATGAAGGAACGCAGATACATTCTCCCTCTTTTTCTCCCTCTCTGTAGGAAACATGGAGATTTCTTTCTCTCGTTACAAGTTTTTCTCCGAATCGGGTGATGCAACAATGTGTTGTTTTCTTCTATCCATTTGCACGGTTAAATAGTTATCCGTGACATAGATGCTGGAGAATTTCTGATTGGACAATTTTGAAAATAATATCATGGTTAATTCGAGAAAGATGCAACTCGTTATTTTGCGTTTCGAATTGACTTAAAGCAGACGATATATCATTTTCATGATCCAAAATGTCTTTAAATTATAGAATTTAAATTATAGAATGTCATAAATTTCATAGACAGATTATATAACCGACGAAGAAGAAAAAGAATCCTGCATATAATTTATAGTTATTTTACAGTGTGAGATCTGATAACAAAATTAAATATCTATATATACGATACAATATTTAAATACAAATGAAAAAAGAATTTATTTCGATTCAATTTCATTGTATAATTTGTAATATTTTCATTTATATTCACTTTAATTTACTTGAACTTTAATTCGATAATAATTTGAAACACAATTTGCCATTTTAATTTGACAAATTAAATTAGAAAAATGAAACTTATACGCATCATTATAATTTAACGACCAATGCCTATATTTATCCATAAATTATAAATTATCTTTAGGGACACTTTTACAATTTTAATCGATTAAATCTCCCAGAACATGAGAAAAGAAAGTAGTACGCGTTTATTGGCCTCCGTTCTCGTGTCGCGAAGAAAGTTTTCGAGTGATCGATGTTCTTCGAAATTAACAAAAAAAAAAAAAAAAGAAAAAAAAAGAATTAATAAAAATCATTTTATTATAAAGTTATACAAATTTTCAATCGAATCGTTGTTCGAAACAGAAAGATTCATGAATGAATTGGAGAGAAAGGATTAATACAGATTATTCCTGGAATTCGCGAGTAGAGGATATCTCGTTCATAAATATTTAACACAGCAATTTCTCATTGAAGAAATCTATCTCGTAGAAAGATTTAAGCATCGATGTCTAAAACATGAATAAATAATTTTAGTTCCCGAACTATAAAATATTAAATTTTCGTAAATAATGAGGTTTTTCGTCAGTGCTGAATTTAAAACAATGGAATTTTATAAAAAGAGAATAGAAAAAGTTGTAAGAAGATTATGCCACGTAATTATAAAAAATAGGAAGAAATACATTGCAGATTATTATTTAAATTATTATATATAGAATATTTTATGCAACTTTTTAAGAAATAAATTTTACAGAATACAATACACTTGAATCAATGTTTTTTCCAATTCTTTCGATAAGATCCGATTTGTTTCGTTTTATAAAATCATTGAAACATGATAGAACGTAATTTAGTGAATCGATTGCGTCAAATCTAAATAATTGACATTTATATATTTTTTATATAAAGCTATTTTTGAACTACACATTTTTATCGCGAATATTCCAACTATTTTTAATTAGATTTCATTTCAGTGCAACTATTGCTTTGTTAGAATTTGTTTATTTGTATCTATGTTGGAAAAATCATATTATTCCAAAACAATTTGATATTTTTAGAGATAAATATTGCATCTCCTCTATTAAATGATCTATTTATCAATGAATTTATACAACTATTATTTCAATTTGTAAGAAAAAAAATGCAGACAGCAAGTTCCGAATTCTTTCGAAACGGAAAATAGATTCGAGAAGGAAGGTAATTATTTCATGAATGGCCATTAAATGGCACCGAACACGATTCGTTTTTCATCTCGTAGAAATAATTCACGTGTTCCCTTTTCGAGGATTAACGGGCAAACGCTCCGATTCGTTCAGTTGCGCAATAAATATTCGCGATTTCGCCTTCGTGGCCACGCGACGTGCCACGAAGCGGAGCGGACATCCAGACGAGTCGACCTGGAGACCTCGAATCGGCCTCTGTCAAAAGAGAATCGTGCACGTTCGCCTCGTTCACGGTACCCGTGCAGTCTCTGACCTATAAAGGGCAGGTGTGCGTTGTCTTACATGTATACATCTAACCATGTATTTGTAACACACCGCTTGATTACTCTTTCCTTATCTGTCACCGTTTTATTTGAAAGTTCATTGACTACGAAACAAATTAATCTTGAAGAAAAATTGAGAATTTACATTCCTGTTTTTTAAATTTCAAAGATATTGACAAATCTAATCCATCCGGAATGGAATTCTTTTTCTTAAATATTTAAATATATAAAAATTTTTTTGAAAATCATTAAATACTTGGTTTTATTTACAAGAAATTTAGATTTAGAACGAATGAATGATCTTGATTTGAAATTTGAATTTCTCTTGTTCCGAGAATATGCATTATTCAATCAAAAATAGATAGATTTTTAAAAAATTCAAATATTACATTTTTAAATATATTATTCGCTTTTGTGTACATTTTTTGTAATTTGTTACGTACAAAAGCAATAATCATAATTTCCAATTCATTCAAAATGTTGGCAAAATTATCAATCATATTGTCTTTTCCTCTGTGAAAAGATATATTAATGGATAATAAATGTGGATGTTTTTCTTTAGATATTTGAAATTTTACATCATAAAGACGTATTAGTAACTATTATTTGCACGACATTCCGTTATTCCGCAAGATATAATTGAGCGAAGATATTTTTTCATAATTTCTATAAAAATAAATTTTAAATACACCGTTTAGATTTTTAATCGCTAAAGCTTGTTGAACATTAAATAACATTTATTCCCAGCAAACCCCTTTTCTTCCTTCCAAAGAGGAAACAACGCGTAAATCTTCGTGTGATTCCGTATAAATATTCAATTAAGCACCTAATTGACTTTAAATATTATATAGATAATATATAGATAAAAAAACATCAATTAATTTTATTTATTATATACGAGTAAAAATTCATTTTAAAAAGTGTTCCCTTTTATTTCTAGTTAGGAAAAAGTAAAATTCAAAATAATTCTTTAATAATCGTCTTTTTTTTCTTTCTTTCTTTTTTTTTTTCTTCTTCGTTGTAAAAAGTGATTCATAACTGGTTTTCTAGTACAAAATCTCACGAGTGGGCCATGGTCAGGGTCTTCGGTCACGCGATCCTGATTCCACGTTTTCTGGCTTCGTGACACAATCGCGTTCCTCGTCGCTTCCTGCACTTGTGGCTAATTACATGGAAAACATCGTCCGGTTTTGTCGTTAGACCGCGTTTTTGATCCGAGGGGAAGACGTAGGAATATCAAGGGAAACGGCTCTTCCACGCCGGAAATTCCAACCGGGATTGTTCATGGTCTGCCTATGACGCTGCGAACAGGATATTCGATAGCTTTTTTTTTTTTTTTTTTTCTTCTCAAACGTGTCTTCCCAAGATATCGAAACAATATTTTTCATTTCTGCCATTTAACGATAGAAAATAATATCTAATAAATAACAAGTAAGAATAATAATGATAAAAATACTGAAAATTGAATAAAATCGATGAATTATAGTGATTTGAGAAAAATTCCAAATATCAGATTTAAAAAATTCACTTTGAAAATTTAGTTAAACTTTTGTGAATAATTTCTACTCAAAAATTTATTTAAATATCTTAAGTTTTGCAAAATATTTTTAATAAAGATCTTTGCTTGATCATCGTCTATTTTAATAGAATGTGAACTGACTTTGACATAGAAATTCATACCACGAATCTTTTCCAACAAGAACGTACAATTATTTTCGTCATATATTGTACACGAGTTTGTTAGAAATTAATATAATTACGAGAATCTATCTTCTATATAAGATTAAAAGAATTTATCTAAGATAAAAAACTTTTTTCTTATAAAATATATTGAAATATAAACTTTTAAGTTAGGGATGCATTTATTATAAAAAACAAAAAAAAAAACTGATACTTTTATCAATTCTATATAGTTTCTATGGAATCCGTTAAATTCTATAAACAGAAAAATTTCAAGCATAAATTTCGATTCACGATTTCGTTTCGTTATCTTTTGAAGGCAAAAGCTGAATGAGCACCGAAAATATGCTAAACGGATCAACAATTTGGAAAATTAGCATGTAAATTGTAGGGTCCAATCTTTGTTTGTTCGTATATTTATTCCAGAAGATGAAATCACGAGAGATCGTTCGAAGGATGATCTTTGGAACCAGTCGCGCCTTTTTTCCACCATGTTTCTTTTATTGGATAATTATCGATCGAAAACTGTTTGAGTGTTAATAATCCTAAATAATTTTACATCGCTTTCAATAAAAAAGGAAAAACAATAAAAAAAAATAAAGATATTCGATGAATTAGAGATTTGTTAATTTTTTTTTTCAATAATATAGAATTCTAAGTGAGTTCTATTTGTAGAAGAAAATTAATTAGTTACTTTACGATCATGAATGAAAAGATTTTTGGTATAAAAAAAAAATATCGAAATGAATTCAGTACAGAGTAAGGACCGGATTGTATCTTGAGATTTCGAAGGTTCCTGAAATCAACGATCGAGTGGGTTAGTGGGTCGTTGTCACGTTAATTACGAGGAATTCAGAGGCTGCATCCAATTCGAATAATCATCTCCTTGGAATTCTTTTCTCTTTTACTCTTCCTTGTTATTTTATACAAGACCAATATTAGAATATTTCAAATTTTGTTGTCAAAAAAAAATTCCTGCAAAATAAATAACAATTGTTAGTCGAGAAAGATATATATTTATTGAAATTTTTAACACTTCGTAAATACTTAGAATTTTGTTTACTTAAAATAAAACTTACAATTTCAAATGAATTTTTCAATTCAGTTAAATAATTGTCATCTTAATTAATAAAGAATTATTTTAAAATTAGAAATTTAACGATATCGAAAATTATAAACATTGACATAAGGCTCAAAGGAATAAAGAATCGATTTTTTTATAATGATAATCGAATAAATAATATCAGAAGTTTTATCAAAAAATTCAAACTTGTATTTCCAGTAAAGAGCAATACCGGTCACAAGGTAGGCAAAGAAAGCTTTCAAGATACTTGGCAATCTTCTTTCTCTTTTTCGGGGTTAACGATGTTAGGATACTTGTTCGTTTTTCTCGAACGTTGCAACATTGTATCTTTCAACCATTTGTAACCTGGAAACATATCGAATTTCGCAAATATTTTCTGTTCCACGACTACCTAACTGTAATACCGTTAAAAAAATCATGATGCATAAA